CGGAACATTCAACTACTCAGGTTACCATAAATGAAACAACAACTCTGTGATAATACAAGGGATGCCCTTCAGTCTAACTGAAATATATAATAAAACAAATTCAAATTAGGGCTTCCAGATGCCCATGTGGAAACATATGTTATTCAAAATTTGATGGCTCTAGGGGCCATTGTTTTATCACAATGCGAGAAACATACATACATTTATACAGATTCTTCATTATTTAATTTCTTTAAATATAATACAGCGCTCTTTGGTGGCCCGAATTTGAAAAGTGAACCAACATTTATCGTGAATCAACGCAAAATGCACAAACGAAATTAATAGTCCTTCTGCGCAAATTGTCCCTTTGAACTAACAATTGGATACAATTTTAAAATGGTATTACTGCTTCTATCTGGAGACAGGCAAAATGGAACTGTTTTAATGCAATCAAAAACTGAAGATTTATTTTTCAAACCCATTTTTTTTAACAATTGCAACCATTTTGGTCTTTGCACTTGGGTATTTCTTAGTGATTTTGCTATCGTGAAACATTTTTCTAAATAAAGCTACAGCATGATCTGATGCATTCAGTGCCATGTTGTGCTCCAGTATAAGGCAAAGAACAGTCATTCTGCATTAAGAACTTTTGGTTCTTTATTTCCTCAGAAAATGTTTTCATTTGTTTTTAAATATAACTTACATTGTCCTTGTGTTTCTTTGTACTCACATGTTTGAGAATATAAGTCCTTCTACCATGCCAAATTGAAAAATCACAATGACAAAAGGTACATATCGCAAATTCCTTGAGGAAATAATAGAAGGAAAGTTATCTATGTACAATTTCTGAAAAACATGTGCGTATTTTACCCTTTTTGGGTACTCTTCTGTTATCTGGACCAGATTAAATGCATGTATTGTAACATATTTGCATTGCTAAGCTACCGACATAATACCAGTAAGAAGTGTAAAGAAACCTTATGCACAGAATATCCGTGCAGAAGATGCACACGCTTTAAAAATGTTTTTGAGTTATTATGTAAGTTTGACTAAAAGTTGGTTGTTCGATCAAAAATGGTGAAATTTCTTTAAAACTTCACTACAGTATATATTCATGTATGTATGGATGTATGTGTTCATGGATGCATATGTGTGAGTACGTACACACATATATGCTTATACATACATACATTTCTGAAGCCGGTCCCAATAACAGAAGAGCACACTTTTTTGCAGACATAACTAAAAAGGGATTTGACTTGACCATATGCTGAATGCAATAATAGAAGCAAAGCTCCCTTTGCTCCATATGAGTAATTAAGTACATAATAAAAGTTCACCAGTTGAATAGCAAGATTGCATTTAAGGGCAACTGCTGAGGAGGTGAGAAAATTCCCTAAGGTGGTCTGATTTAAAATTTGTGATATTCAAACAGAGACAATGTCAGATAAAAAAACTCTAAACGGATTAGACATGTGGACTTCAAGTCCGCAAAAGCAGAAGAGGTGGAAAAAAATTAAATGATCAGAGTGTTAGCAGTATAAGCATATTTTCCCAGTGGAAAGGGACTGTGTTTCTGATTGGAGATAATTGAATTTTGATGGTATTTGATCGAAAGGTAGAACTTACTGGTGTTGTTTCTAATGTAGTCACTGATTTATTGAATTTTAAAGTCGTTATGGATGATAGAGTTCCTGAAATACCAAGGGGTGTTGACAATCATTTGGAGCATCTTGTTTTGAAAAATCTGCAGCTGGCGAAGACTGGATTTAGCAATTTGGTGTACAGGAGAAAAGGATGAAGGACAGACTTGTATAATATAACCTCGTTTTTGATGCAGAGCTTGCTGTGGCATCCAAGAAGAGGAAGCATATTGTACAATAAAATTTCTTCATGAACTTTCTTGAAATGATTTTTGAAGGTGATCTTGCTAAAAAGATTTTTTCCAAGATAGGAAGTGTTGCTAGTCCATTCTATTGGTTTGCCAAAGAGGAGGAGAGCATCAAGAGTTTTATTGGAATTCCCTTTACAGAAGATAACTGCAGCAGAATTTTGTGTGTTGTCAGCAAGGCACCATTTGCTATACCAGTCTTCAAGAGTAAGAGAAGATAGCTTTGAAGGAGAGTTATAATGAACTTGAAGTTGGTCAAGATATCAGTATCATGCGAAAAAAGAATGAGCTGCATCTTAGGATCATGAGGGATGTCATGAGGGCAGACATTGAAAAGGATGGGCCCAAACACACTTCTTGGTGGGACACCAGCTTGAATACAACAGCTAGAAGAGAATATATTCCCCATTCATACCTTTAAGCTCTGGTTGGTGAAGAAGAAGGTTATGAGGTGGATGACAAAATCCAGGAGATTAAGCTGGATGAGTCTGTAAAGGAGTACCTGTGCTAGACCTAGTCAAATGCCTTTGCCATGTCAAGGAAGATAGACCCAGTGTAGGTCTTGGCATTCATGACCTTGGTGATGGTGTTGACCACTCTAAAGAGTAACTAAAGTAAAAGATCATAATTTTCTAAACTATTTCTTGAAAACATGTTCACTCACACCACTCAGCGACAAAATGAACAAAATAACAACCTTGTTCTTGCTTTGTGCTCATTGGCTAATATATGCCAGAGGACACACAGTAGTAGTCAACGCTCACTGCACCCCAATGTTTTTGGACGTATGTGCTCTCATTCTTCATCAAAAGCAGTCCATAATTTCTTACTGATGAAACGACTTTGCTTTTCTTTTATATGTATTACTTAGTTTACTTTTATTATCTCAGTTATTTCTTTTATATGTTTTCACTTTTTTTTGGGTGCAAATAATGAACTATTAAGCCAAGATACATAAAAATCATGAGGAAAATTTAAGAACACTAGAAATATGTTTTAAATCCGGTTGGCAGGAGAACAGTCAGAAATCTGTAGTCTTCCACCTAAATCAGGAGAGTTGGCAACTCTGTGTGACATTACCTTTATTTATAACTGGTATTATATCTAGCTGCTGCTGCTTTTACATCAGTGAGATAATACGTAAGTACGCAGGGCAAACAGCAGTACCATTACGATTCCTTATAAGAAAAAAATACATCCAATGCAACAAAAGCAAACACCAAGACTGCCACTCATCTGCTGTGATGCCCGCATACCTGAGTAGTCACATAAATAGCTTTTGGTGACACAGTGCGTTATTTTTGAATTCATTTCAAGGTTGGCTGGATAATCAGAAAATACCAAGAAAATATTTCATATTTTTTCAAACAGTGTAACAATTTTTTTTCCTAACTTCATTTTAGTGCTTTTCTATAAAGAACAGAAACAACTCTGGCATGTACCATATATTTCTGTATATGAGCTAAGAATTTTAGATACTTTTTGTAAAGCTAAATTACAGGGGTCAGTTTATATCCAGATCCGCTAATCTCACAAAAAAGTAGGTATTTTTCCGTTAGCCAAGTGCAAGCAATGAATTTCCAAATATTGTACTTTTTGTTTCTTTAGTTTAAATTTTTTAATTTTATGAAAAAAAAATTAATTGAAACCAAATATTTGTTTTATGGAAACGGTTTATTTTATTTTTGAAACTATTTATAATGTTTATTTGGCTCATCATTGCTAAAATGAAAAATGCAATGGTGATGACATTTGCACCACATTCTCTTCACTCTTGAATTAGTTTTCCATTTACACAGAAATGCTGAACAACCATACTGTCAGAATTTTTATCAAGCATAATCACCTGTGACTGAAATTTGCCATATAAGAATATCTCTTCCCACTCACTTTTCAGATAAAAAAGTAAAATGGCACAGCTATAAATTCTAGAAGTTCTTTAGAACAGATACCACAGATTCTATAGAAGACAACAAACAAATGAAAGGGGGAAATGTGCTAACTTCAGATAAGGTTACCAGAGCTAAAACTATTGTCACCGATGTTTTACTTTAAAGCGTAATAATTGGAAAATAAACCACCCATTTTACTTGCAAGATTTTCACCCTTGTCACTATAAGTCTGAATGACTTTTCATTTCATCTTATATACGAGTTTAGAATTTTGAGCAAATGTTTGAAGAAAAAATGCACTCTTGGATTATACGCAGATCTGCCTGTACTGAGAAATAAATGGTAACTCTTTAGTATGTAAATGCTTTCCTTAAAAACCTAGCTAGATGATTTTAAAACAAATTCTATGAATAAAATATCTTAGAGAATTTACATGAGCCCATTGACAAATTTTGTAAAATTTGAAAGAAAATTTTCATTGATATCAAATTCCCCACCTAATACCTTAATATTTTGAAAAAAAAGGGACCATTTATTTTTGCTAGCTTACTTAGATTCATGACTAAAGCAAAAAATTAATAATTTTCTGAATTAATTCACATATAGGTAAAATTTCTACAGAAAACTGCATCTATTTAAAATTTTAAGAATTTTAATTTATTCTTTAATGTGAAAAATATACTTAGCTAATTAGTTTCCTAAACTTTTAACCTACACAATTATATTTTATAATTAATTAAATGTTTAGTTTTGCTCATAATGCCAGCAACAGCTTCTTTTACAATTTTTTCCCCCATGAAAGATCCAGCCTCTTGAAAATAATTTGAGACATAATTCAAAACCAGAGAGAACTCATTAATATCTGTGAGCAAAAAAGGTCCACAAACATAATAAAACATATGATTCATGTTTATTACATATGTTGCTTTATTCTGGTGTTTGATTAATGAACCCCCCCCGGCCCAAAAAAAGAAAGAAAACAGAAAAGGGGAGGGAACAGCATTCAGCTTTCCATGCATACTGTTTGATGAACTGAGCAACTTTTCATAAATAATTTAGCTACATAATTTTTATTCAAAAGCTATTATAAAAAAAGTTCTTCAACTAACCGTGACAGTCAGATGTATCTTCTTGAGATTTTCAATTTCATAATATTCCATTTATGTTCAATAAATTTTAATATTTTTGCATAGATTTTATTTTATAATTGTCTTTTTGCCATATTTTAGATTTACCTAAACTTTGATGATCTGTAGAAGCATGCTAATCCTTCAGCTACTTGACCACCTTTCTCATTGTATGTTCCATCAAGGCCAGTAGATGATAAAACAGGAATTAGATCATCATGAAAAACTTTTCGATCTACTTCTTGTAAACAAACGATATCAGCATTATATCCTGTAAGAATTTTTAATAAAAATTAATAATTCAAGCATGACAATAACTTCGAAAAAATTAGACACATACTTTCTTATTTTGTTTAACCTTACCTATCCTAAATATAGCATATTTTTTTAAGGGGGGGTGCTAATGCTTTTTAATGCATTACCTAACTCCTGATCTTTAACTTATTCACATTCATGAGCCCCATTTTTAGGCCAATTTAGAAACATTCATTATACCTCATTACTTAATAAATGTAAAACTAACACTTGTAAGAACATTCATGCAATGACTTACATTTTAGCTGTCAAACTTTTAATACCTAGAGTTTAATTTAGCCTTCAAATGAAGTTTATTTGTATAAGCTACATAATTCAATTGATATAATGTGGTCATTCTATGATGACGAATCCACTAAGTTAACAATATTCTCTTTTACTACAGCACTGATTTTCAGTTTTTTCTGTACTTGTTTTGCATTTCTGTCTCTGTGCAAAAGAATTATTATAGTTAGCCACTTCTTATAAATTAGCCCTAATATTTTGCCAAATTCTTTCCTGTTTGTTTCAATACAGAACATTCTATTTTGAAACTATCTGCTCTTTGGTTTGCTAAATCAAGCATTTCCATTGCATTAAAGCCCTTAAAATGTTGAAACATAACTGAATCAAGGACTCAAGCACTTCCATTGCATCAAAGGGTTCAAGAATTTGAGATACAGTTGAAACATTCACAGAGTAAGCATTTTTATACTAGCAAAAGCTTCAATGTATAGAGTCATTAGGTTATTTTTAAGCAGGAAATGTGAAAAGAGAGCAATGCTCTTGTCGTGACTTGAACCTGTGTGACTGGACCTCTCAAATATGCATAGAGTGTACTACCGTTACACCGTGAAGGCATGCAGAAAGAAGGGAAAAAATACCTTATATATTCCCCTTTTTAAAGTGCAAGTGGGGATGAGTGGACATAGTCGCCAAATCCTCGTGGTGAAGAATCATCATCCACTACCTTTTAGTTCGGGCACCACTGTAGAGTCATTAGGATTTTTGAAACAGGAAACACAAAAAATCAGCAATGCCCTGGACTCGAATCTGGATCTCTAGAATATGCGCCGAACATGCTACCGTTACACCACGAAGGCATGCAGAAAGGAGGAAGAAAATACCTTATAAGACACAGCTAAATGGTGGCTTTAAAATATAAGAAATTTCAAATATCATTCCTCCAGGCCCGATTTAATGATGACAATAAATCCAATGCAATTAATGCATAAAGAATGATGATTCCATTGTTTGTTTTGAAGACAGATAGTCATTCGTCTAACTTACGGCTTAAATTAACCAAATGGAATTTTGAAAATAAAGAGCATGTGTTCTATTTTTTTGCCCACTGTTTCTCACCAAATCCTATATTGATAGCTATCTGGTTTTTAATTGTTTCAATTTAAATTAAAAATCATAGACATTTAAGATAGTTCCCTGGCTAACTTTTATCCTACTCTCTACTACTAGTACAGTGATATTACTGCATAAAGCAAGATCTTATGTGCAGTTTCACATAAGGATTGTCATGCTTGATGTATTGTAAAAAACACAGGAAAGTGTCTACACATAGTTAATAACTTTAAACCCAACAATCTACTATATGCATTAAAATCAAAATCTCTATCAATCAATATCACATACTCAGAAATTCACATTCATTCAGTGTCTTAAGACAGTCACATGTATAATGCATCACTCTGCTTATCATATCCTTTCTTCAAAATCCTAAAATAACTTAATTAATTATACAGATGGGAAACTTTGCTTACTTTTTGGGATTTGTGAGCATTTATTCCATTGTTATTTAGAAAAAATATATTTAGTTCATAAAACTTAGCTATTTGACAGACTTCAGCAAGATACAAGCCAATGCTATAGCTTGAATTCCATTGTATTCCTATTATCTCCTTTTCCTCAGTATTCATTAGAAACTTCAATAGAATAGAATATTCATTAGAAACTAGTAGCATATTATGAATTTTATCAAAATGTGAATTAATATTAAAAAAAATTACTTTGCTATTGAGGATTGCAACTGTTTTACTTTTCACCACTTTATTTACTTTAGTAAATATATTTGGTAAGTATTTTCTGATTATCCACATCCTTCACTTATCACTCAATTACTCTCAACATTCGGTAAAACTGGAATCTTCCCGGGACATCTGCAAATATACACATAGGAATAGGCAAACTATGCACATGTACATCGAATGCATATTTGACTAAATGTGTATGTATTTATGCCCTTTATGTTTAGTCATTGTTTCTCTGAATTGTATCCACTGGCTGCAATATTGTAAGCATTGGCATACACACTTTTGATTTTGCTCTCCTTCTATTATTATATATGAAATATTTGAAAACTCTCCTTCTATTATTATATATGAATATAGAATAGTACCTATGACCTGAAAATTTGGCCAGATATCTTTCTTTGATTCACAAAGACAACTTTTCATGGGAAAAAGGGCAAATTATAAAGTACTCTTACTTCTTATGAATAACTTACTTACCCATTATTTCCTTTAAGTATAGCTGCTTTCTGTAGTCTAACATTAGAAATTCAGCTGGACAGTAAGGGAACAATTCATTGCGAGCTGTATCAGAATCAGCATATAAGTCAGCCAATATGTTATATGATACAAAACGCAAGCTGCAATTTAAAAAAACTTGTAATTATTAATCAATACAAAAATTCCAATATCGTTTCATCAAAAACATAAAAAAATTGAAATAGCAGAAAGTACAGAGGATTTCTTAATCTGGAAATGAAAAATAATTGAAGATTCACAGCTGATAAAATATAGTTATAAGTAAAATTGAACAAATAAGTTTAACATATAGTTATTCAATGTAAGAAATTATATTTGTCTATTTAAGAGGTAGAAATTGATTTTTCTGGGAATTATGTATAAAAGCACTGTCACATATGTTGGATTTCAAAACAATGTAGTTTGTATTTACTTTACTTTAATTTTATACTTATAATTTTACAATAGTTATTACTTTTACCTTTTGGCCACTAATAATTGTTGTTAGTTTGGTTTCATGAGAGTGGCAACAGGGCAATTCTTAGAATTAGAAAAACATGTTTCTGTAGTTAGTTAGCCGCCCAACCGGTATAGTGGTTAGCGTTGCTGACTACCGTGCCGAAGGGTCCGGGTTCGAATCCCGGAGAAGGCATGGATGTTTGTATATGTTTAATAAAAATTTGTAAAAACGTTTGTTGTTAATTTCAATATTAACCCTCACGGATTGGAGGAAACGGCGTTCGCCAAAGTCCTCATCATCTTTCTTCTTGTCTAAAAAGCAAGATTGATACTGATACTGATACTGTAGTTAGTTAGGCTTATTGAAGATTAATTGTATGTTATATACCAGAGTGATGTTTTATTAAATAAATGAATACTTTAGAATATAGTAGTCTATTTAGAGTTCTTGATATGCTGGTAGCATAATAGTTTGATGCATAAGCGAACATTTTAATGGTACCCTCGGTGGGACATAAGAGACGTTAGTTTGGAAATCTAAAGTATAAAAATGGAAGCTAAAGAAGCTATTAAACTTGAAAAGAAGATTCACAGAGCTGCTTTTACAAAAGCCTTCAATGTTTTAGAAGAAATTTTAAAGAAAAGTGAGATAAATTCTTCTGAATTACAGTCGGAGCTTAATGTTTTTGTTTCGAAAGTTCAACGTTTGGAAGATATGCACATACGTTTTCTTAGCACACTGTCTGGAAACGAAATTGAATCAGAATTCGATGTTATTGAAGATTATCGTGACAAGGCTGTTAGAATCGAAACTAAAGTGAAAGATATTCTTCAGAATCTACAAAATGTAAGTACTTCAAATTTAATTTTGAATGAATCTGTTAATGAGAATGTATGTAAACGTACATTCAAACTTCCAAAGCTTGAATTACGAAAATTTGATGGTGAAATTAAGGAATGGTTATTTTTTTGGAGTCAATTTGAAAAAATTGACAAAGATACTACGATTTCTGATAGTGATAAATTTCAATATTTATTACAAGCGACTGTTGAGGGTTCGCGTGCAAGGGAGGTTATAGAAAGTTTTCCCCTACATCTGCTAATTATCCCAAGGCCATAGAATGTTTGAAGGCTCGTTTTGGTTGAAATGACTTGCAAGTGGAAGTTTATGTGAGAGAATTGTTGAAATTGGTCCTGAAAAATGCAAATTCTAGTAATTCCTGTAATAACTTATGTGCATTATATGATAATTTGGAACAACAAATTCGGGCTCTGAAAACCCTTGGCGTAAGCACTACAAATAATGCAGCACTACAAATAAAAGTGCTGCATTGCTTTATCCTTTAGTTGAATCTTGCTTGCCTGAGGATTTTTTAAGAGCCTATCAAAGAAGTGCAAATGTTGACCATGGTCCAGACCCAAAATGTAGACTGGACAGTTTATTAAAATTTTTGAAATCAGAAGTAGAATCGAAGGAACACATAAGTTTAGCTATGGCTGGTTTCGGTTTGAAGAACAAAGTGATCTGTGGTATTAAATCTATTAAAACTGTTCATGATCGACCATCAACGGCAGCAAGTTTGTTGAGTGCTGATTCTCCCACTAAGAAGTGTGTGTTTTGCTGCGGAAAACATGATTAATTTAATTGTTTTAAGGCTAAAAAAATGCCATTTTCAGAGAGGCAAAAACTCTTAAATGATAAAGGGCACTGCTTTCGCTGTTTAAAAGCTGGTCACTGTGCAAATAAATGCAGGAGTTCTATTAAATGTGCAATTTGCCATAAAAATCACAGCATAATTATGTGTTTAGAATTGCTTAAAAATAAAACAAATGTTAAGAAGCGTATGTTAAACAGCAATGAAATAGAAACTAGCAAGGAAGAAAGTTCTGTAAATTTTTCTAGCGTTAGCAACACACCACAAGTACTTTTGCAAACCCTGAAAGTAAAAATAATTGGAAATAATTGCACACTTTGTGTTCGAGCTTTATATGACACAGGATCTCAAAAATCGTACTTAAGGAAGGATTTAATTTCTACTCTAGGCCTGATACCTTCTAGACAACAGATTTTGAGCCACGCCCTTTTTGGAGGAAAATGAACACCTGAAAATGTACATAATGTCTACAAAATTAAGCTAAAGAGTTTAGACGATAATTTTACTTGTACTTTTGATATTTATGAGCAAGATACAATTTGTGATGCTGTACCTTCTGCCTTAAATGGGCCATGGATTAAAGAGCTCAGGTCCATGAATATACCATTTTATGACACTGAAGATTCATCAGGGCCTATTGATCTTTTAATTGGTGCAGATGTGGCTGGTCGACTTTTCACCGACAGAAAAATAGTACTTTCTAGTGGTATTGTAGCCATAGAAACTTACCTGGCCTGGACATTGATTGGTAAAACATCAGTGAATGCTGAAAGGGAAGATACAGCGATGACGATTGTAACAATGTTTGTGAAAGATGCCAATATTTCTGACCTTTTTTCCTTAGACATCTTAGGAATATCTGATCCAGTCGAAGTAACATCACGAAAGGAAAAGGAATTTCTTACGAAGAAATATTTTCAAGAGACTCTACGAATCAATGATGATGGGCAGTACGAAAGTTGCCTTACCGTGGAAAGACGATCATTTGCCTCTCCCAACCAACAAAGATATAGCGATAAGCAGACTTCAAGTCTCAACAAAAAAGCTGAATTCAGAAAAATTATTTGATACCTATGATGATGTCTTTAAGCAATGGACTGAATTGAGAATAATAGATATCACAGATGTGCATGATTCACACCAGCACTTTCTTCCTCACCGACCAGTAGTCAAGGAACATGGTACTACCAAAGTACGTCCAGTTTTCGATGCATCTGCTAGGCAAACTGTATCTCCATCTTTGAACCAGTGTCTAGAATCCGGTCCCAATTTATTAGAACTCATTCCAAGTCTCCTTCTGAGATTTAGAGAATTTAAATATGGTGTTATTGCAGATATTGAAAAGGCCTTTTTGCAAGTGAACGTTCGGCCAGAAGAACGAAACTATTTGAGATTCTTCTGGTGGAATGATAGCGACTGCAAAGAAATTAAGGTAATGCAACACAACAGATTGGTCTTTGGTGTAAAGAGCAGCCCTTTTCTTTTGGGAGCAGTCTTAGATTATCATTTGGGAAAATATTTGAATGATGCCAGATATAATCAAGATTATGTTAAGATTCTTCTTTCGAGTTTCTATGTTGATAATTTAGTAGCGAGCTTAAATGATACATGTGATATATTACCCTTCATTGAAACGGCTCAAGCCATACTGAGTGAGGGAAAATTCAATTTGAGAGGCTGGCAGTACACAAATGATAATGGTCCTGAACCATTTACTTCTGTATTAGAACTTTTATGGGATAGAAACAAGGATACACTGATGATAAATCTGGACTGGTTAGACAGCCATAAATTTGAAACTTTGACCAAAAGAATAATTCTTTCTGTCACTCATAAGATGTTCGATCCTGTTGGTTTATTATGTCCTGTTTTGCTAATACACAAATTGTTATTGCAAAAGATGTGGAAAGAAAACATACCTTGGGACTCTGAAGTCAACACTTATATAAAAGAAGAATTTATGAGCTCGCTGAAGGAAGTGACCATATCACGGTGTTTTTCAATTGATCCAAGTAGACAAAACATTTCTCTGCATACATTTTGTGATGCTAGTCATTTGGCCTTCGCAGCAGCTGCAGCTGTTTACATTCGTGTGGAGAGACATCGGAGAATGTCCAAGTTCATCTCTTAGCAGCCAAAGCTAGAGTGGCTTCTGTAAAACCCATGACCCTGGATTGCTGATGGCTGCTATGGTGGGAGCTCGTTTGTGTGCATCTGTTGTGGAAGGTCTTCAATGGAAACATATAGAACAGCATTATTGGACTGACTCAACGGTTGTTTTAGGGTGGATTTAACGTAAAGAATCCTGGACGGTATTTGTGAAGAACAGAGTGAATGAGATAAATAGTTTAACGGATCCTCTTGCATGGAAACACCTTCCTGGGATCCAGAATCCTGCTGATTTGCCTTCTCGAGGATGTTCGGCTACACAACTGTTATCAAGCAAATGGTGGGAGGGCCCTACTTGGTTATTAGAACCTTCTTCTAACTGGTCCATCACAGAACAAAATTTTGATGAACATTCTATAGCTAAGGAAAAGAGAAAAACAAAATCTGATGGGCATTCTTCTATCTGTTCTCTAAGTTACTCAAATACTTGTAGCTGCAAAACTTATGAAAAGAAAAATGGATGCAGACATTATGGATCAAGTTGGTACTATTATTATTTTTCAAGCTATGACAAAGTGATATGGTTGATTGCTTGGATAAAAAGATTTATCTTTAATTGTCTAAATGCAAAGTCTTCGCGAATTATTGGAGAGTTATCCTACGAAGAAGTCAAAAATGCAGAAAAGAAAGTCATATTATTAATACAAAACGAATACTTTTCTGATCATTTAAACAAAAGGAAATTAGAATCTTTGGCAACATATAAGGACGAAGAAGGAATTATTAGACTGCGAACAAAAATTACATTTCGGAAGGATACAGAAAACTTTAAACATCCTTTTGTTTTACCGGGAGAACATCAGGCTGTCAAAAGGTTAATTACAACAGAACACCAGAAG